CTTAGCCCATTTTATACATATGATGGAAAGGAGAATGTTTATAGTAATACATTACAAATATGACAAAATAATTGTGAAAATACAAGTTTATAGATAAAAACCTTTTTTGAAGCGTGAACTTGATTCCCCAAGAGCTTTGCAAAATCCTTGATGTCTTCTCCTTTGTGCTCTAAATTTAGCACCCAAAATACCAAGAAAAAGACAGAAAATAAAAGAGAAAATAAAAAAGCAGAATCGTCCCAGTAGAAGATGAAAACTGAAGCTGCGTCCCAGAATGAAGCTGCTGTTTTTAACATTAAAACCTAAGGAAAATTGCGGCCTTGGTCCCTCAAGTTTCAAAAGTTAACAAAAAGGTCCCCAACTTGTTTTTTCTTTTAAAATGGGCGCTACGGCACCGGAACAGTGGCGCCACAGAGCCTAGGCTTCTGTCAAGCAGCCCAAAAAAAATGGGTTTTGTGTCATTTGCAGCCAAGTCCTTCATTTTTTTGCATGCCGAGTCCCTCAACTTTTGATCTTGTAAATTTGGTCCCTAGATTTTGACTTTCATTTTGATTATGCCCTCCATAAATTGCAGCACAATTCCTCCACTTTTGACACATGCATTTTGGCCTCCAACATCACAAATGTTGTATGCTTTTAGTCCATTGTTTCTTCTTTTGCTTTGTTCTCTTTACTCGAGTGATTTTTAGCCTACAAAAGCGAATATTACACAATTGTGAGTAGAATTTCATTCATTTAGTTAATAATTATATCAAATTAATTGCCCAATAAGTGTGAAAAAATACACTTATCACACCCCCAAACTTAAGCTCTTGTTCGTCCCGAGCAAGATTATCTACCACACAATCAAGCAAAAGTGATAATGGTCAATACACTAAATAGCTTGCCAAAAATATCAATGAGTGTAAAATTGTATAATCAATTCACAAATATGCTCCAAATAATGCTAACAAAAATTATTTGATTTTATCCAATGTTCGATCGGTGTGTAGGTGCATAGTCACTTTCAATTATCATCTAAATTAGGAAAAGTTGTCAAGATGGAAAAATCTTCAAATTGGCTCCAACCCGACCATTTGTGGTCAAATATTTCCTTTTCCACTCGTGAAATTTATACTCCTCAAATAGATTTTCATTTCTTTCCACGATGTATAAATCTAAAGCTGCTCTCAATTCACTCATTTCTTTTCCCGTTCCAGTTCGGTTGGGTCTAACTGGTAATATCAATCTCTAGTCATGTGATGATTTTTTACTAATGAGTGCTTTCACATTCAAGTTTATACTAAGCAATTCAAACCCACTAATTATCTAAGCCCAAATATCAATAACAATTTTTTTTCTTTTTAGCCGAATCTCATGTTTTACCTCACTCCCTTAAGCTTTCTTCTTAACCCTTGTAGCGAGCTTTAGGTCGATAACTCCCCGATTGTTTAGGCCAAAGGGTACTCGGTTTCAAAATACCCCTACGAACTTAATAACTCGAGTAAAAAAGGCTACGAAGTGAGGCCCAAGATTCAACAAGTACAATAACTTCATTTTTTTAACACAACAAAAATGGGGCTTAGATCCCTAGCATACGGTTATTACCTAGCTTATGTTCGGCAAAAGACACTCCACACAAATATTTTCAACATGCACGTAATCACATACTTCTAGATAATCTCCTTCACCGGCTCGACCACCCCCAAACTTACCTCACAATGTGGTAAAGTGAAAGAAAAGAGAATATAGATTGATAAAAATTTCCAAACAACTCACAAGTCACAACCTAGTTCAACCAATTCAAAAATATATCCTTCAATCAAAAATTTTTCACATCTAGATAACAATTATTCATGACTATTGTGCTCAAAGTAATTCAAAATCTCACAATAGATAAGCAATTTTTTTGAAAAAAATTACGCACAAATAGCATTTTTGGTCATGTATGCATAACTCATGAATCAATAACAATTTCAAACATCAAAACCATGCAAAGCCAGCAAGGCTATCTAACAAATCAACACAATCTCACCAATTCAAGCACAATCATCCCCAAACTTAAACCACACATTGTCCTCAATGTGTAAAGAACAAGATAAAAAAGAGAGGGATAATGAAACTTCCCCGATTAGGTATTTGTTGAAGGATGTTGTAGATGAATTTTTGGTTTATGACTTAGTGGACCATGCATCCCCAAACTTGTTGAGATCTATGGGTGGCTAGGACTTCAAAAATTTTGACCTACAAAAGAATTGTATTAATTCAAAATGTAATAACAAAAGTATTAATCACAAGTAACATAAACAAAAGTGTAAAGATAAGAAAGTTGGGTTGCCTCTGAACAAGCGCTTGGTTATAGTCCCTAGCTCGACTATAGGCCTTGTTCACTCCAAATTGGCAAGAGGAATGGAGGACTTCTCCTTAGAAAAATCACCTCCAAAGTATGGTTTCAATCGCTGCCCGTTAACCTTGAAGTTCCCATTTTCCTCATGATGAAATTCAATTGCTCCATGTGGAAAAATCTTAGCAATGGTAAAAGGACCAGACCATCTCGAGCGGAGCTTTTTGGGAAACAATCGGAGTCGAGAATTGTAGAGAAGAACTTGTTGCCCAACAAAGAACTCTCGTTTCACAATATGTTTATCATGCCATTTCTTTGTCTTTCTTTGTAAATTTGAGCATTCTCATAAGAGTCAAGGCGGACTTCATCCAGCTCATTCAATTGGAGCAATCTTTTCTCATCGGCCAATTTCACATCAAAATTCAAAGCTTTTACTACCCAATAAGCTCGATGCTCAAGTTCTACTGAGAGGTAGCAAGCTTTCCCAAACAAAAGACGATAGGGAGACATACCAATGGGAGTTTTGAACGCGGTACGATAAGCCCATAATGCATCATCCAATTTCTTGGACCAATCTTTTCTAGAGGCACTCACAGTCAATTCAAGAATCCTCTTCAACTCCCGATTCGAAATTTTAACTTGGCCACTAGTTTGAGGATGATAGGGAGTGGCTACACGACGCTTTACTCCATATTTGGTCAATACTGAGTCAAAGAGGCGATTACAAAAATGCTTACCTCCATCACTAATGATAGCTCGGGGGGTGCCATAGCGAGAGAAAATATTTTTCTTTAAAAAGTTTACTACCACTCGAGCATCATTAGTGGGCAAAACCACCACTTCTACCCACTTTGACACATAATCAACCGCTATCAATATGTATTGATTTGAGAATGAAGGAGGAAAATGTCTCATAAAATCAATACCCCGTACATAAAAAATTTCCACCTCTAATATAGAATTCAAAGGCATTTCATTTCGGTTGGAAATATTACCACTGTGTTGGCATTTGTCGCACTTGGAGACAAGAATGTGAACATATTTGAATGATGTGGGCCAATAAAAATCGGATCGAAGTACGTTTGATGCGGTTTTCACGGCACCGAAGTGACCACCATAGGGTGAGGAATGACATTGTTCAAGGATTTGCTCCATTTCATCTTCCAGCACACATCTCCGAATAATTTGATCTGGACCCCATTTGAACAACAAAAGATTGTCCCAAAAATAATGCTTGATGTCGGCAAAGGACTTCTTCCTATGTTGGTAAGAGAGATCCGGGGCAATGATGCCACTAGCAAGAAAGTTCACATGGTCCGCATACCATGGTATATGGGTGGCTTGTAGAAGATGCATAATTTGCAAGAGTTGTTCATCAGGAAATACCTCATTTATCTCCCCATCCACCACCTCTTTGGTTTGCTCAAGTCGAGACAGATGACCGGCAACAACATTTTCGGTCCCTTTTTTATCGTGAATTTCCAAGTCAAACTCTTGTAGAAGAAGGACCCATCTAATTAACCAAGGCTCGGCATCTTTCTTTGCTAGCAAATACTTGAGGGCTGAGTGGTCCGTGTAAACAATCACTTTCGATCCAATGAGGTAAGATCGAAATTTATCAAATGCTCTGCGAGCATCTCTTTTTCAGTAGTGGCATAGTTCAGTTGAGCATCGGTCAAAGTTTGGCTAACATAGTAAATAACATGCAAGATTTTATTTCCCCTTTGCCCCAAAACTGCTCCAACGGCGTAATTGCTTGCATCGCACATAAGCTCAAATGGTAAATTCCAATCCGGAGCTACAATGATAGTAGCCGTGATGAGTTTCTCTTTAAGAGTGTTAAAAGCATAGTGGCACTCTTGAGAGAAATCAAATGGAGTGTTATTCTCAAGTAAGGAGCAAAGTGGCTTGGTGATATTCGAGAAGTCCTTAATAAAACTCCTATAAAATTCGACATGTCCCATAAAACTCCTTATCCCTTTCACCGAGGTAGGTAGAAGTAATTTCTCAATGACTTGGATTTTTGCCTTGCCAACCTCTATCCCTTTATGTGAAATCCGATGGGCAAGAACTATGCCTTCCTGGACCATGAAACGACATTTTTCCCAATTAAGTACTAAATTTGTCTCCTCACATCTTTTCAACACCATCTCTAAATTGCTCAAACATCCGTCAAATGA